GAGCGCTCTACCACTTGAGCTACAGCGCCACTTCCGGTTTTCTGGTGGTTTATTGGAGATAGGAGTCTCACGGTCTCTCCTGCCCGGGCTGGCTTTGAACTTCGATCCTCAGATCTCAGCCTCCTGAGTAGCTAGGATTACAGGTGTGAGCCACCAGCGCCCAGTCAGACTTTTTCTTTGCTTTTTTTTGTTTTTTGTTTTTTGGTGTCAGTTTTGGGGCTTAGGTATTCTGACAAGTCTCCTTTTCTCCAAATACAGGCCTCTAAGACTGCAGAGAATGCCACCAGTGGGGAAACATTAGAAGACAATGAAGCTGGGGACTGAGGTGGGTCCCATATCCCCAGCTTGCTGCTCCTGCCTCATCCCCTTCCCACCACACCCCAGGCTCTGTGAAGCGCAGTTCGTCTTCTCCACCAGGACCGCCAGCAGAGCAGGGTCTCCCTGTCCCCATCCCAGTACCCCCACCCAGCCCTTCCAACAACAACCAGCTCCAACTGACTGCTCTTGGGAAGCCAGGCTTCCCAATACCGAAGACTACTTTAAATAGAAAAAAAGAAATGGAATAATAAAATCAGGAGTCAAAAGTCCATCGTCTTCAAGCCCTCTTTCTAGCCTTTTCTACTACTCTGCTTGGTCAAGGTGTGTGGCCCTGCAGCAGAACAGGGAGGAGGCTAAATTAGCCACCATCATTAAAACTTCAGCTGAAAAAAAATTTTTTTTATACCACTCTGATATCAGCATTTTCTCATCTACTTGGGGCTTTTTTTCCCCCCTCTTATTGCCCCACTTTGCCCGAGCATTTTGTCTGCCCTCAAAATTACTAAAGAGGACCTGTTCTTCAGATTATTTTTACCTGTGGCAGATGCATCCATTTGGGCCTTCCTTAGGAACTGAAGTCTCCCTTTTATGAAGAGATTCTCATCTATCAAGTGGATCCCTGTTCGAATGGTTTTTTTTTTTTTTTTTGTCATTTTTGTTCTGCAAGATGTCCCCTCTGTGCACGCACCCCTAATTTCCACAAAGCGTAAAGAAATAATCCAGTTCAGCCTTTACTCCAGTCAGTGGGGGCTTCCCTTGCTCTCTCTTACACAACCTAAGCTGGAAGTTCAACTGTGGTTTATACCCTGTTTGAACTATCTTGACCTCTCTCACTGGAAAGAACCCAGAAACCAGAAGAGTACACTGAAGAGTCAACTCCTAGCCTTCTGAAGCTGTGGACTTAGGATTGGATGAGTTGCTAGGGGTTTTTAGACCTGACAAAATTCAATACCTCTGGCATGCTGACCCAGGGAACTAGGGCTCCCACTAACTTAGGAGGTTTTTAAGATGACATTAAAATAAATTTGGATTTGCTCATAATTGCCTGTCTCTGTGGCTGTTATCTATCTGGTGGAGATGGGGAATGTCAATTCAAGTAATAAGCAGTTGAGAGTTATTCTACAGTGCTGTACTTTACCTAAAAGAAGGGCTATCTTGGGTTGGGGGAGGAGTGTCATAAATTCTGGATTCTCTGAAGATAAACAATAAATGAGATGAGCACTGGTGCTTGAGGATCACATCTCAAAGCCAGGAGTGGAGATATGGTTCAAATGGTAGAGCACTGAGTTCAAGCTCTACTACCAGCATTAAAAAAATATAGTAGTTAACGGGTATATTGATACTGGTTTGGAACTAGGACATGGAATTGTGTACTGTAAAAACTGCAAGTGTTTGCCCTATTTCAAGAAACAGGCTAGTTTTTAAGACCAAGATGTGATGTTTGGTTAATTCGTTGATTAGACTTAAAGTATATGAGGCAATGTTGACCTAGGGATTCTGAACAAATGCAGCTTACTCACCATTAAAAGTAGATTCAGTCAAAAATCCTGTGTTGTCCATATTCATCCCCCTAATACATGTGTCCAAACTATAGAAGCTTGAACTCCAGTATAGCCATGCACGATCTTTGGGTGGAAGATAGCATGTCAATGTAATGTGTTGGTTGTGACAACTACAGTACATTATTGTGACAGCTGTTAATGAGGCTTCACAGTGGAGTAGGAAATATATGGGAAATTACACCTCAAATTTGACTGGAAACCTAAAACTTTAGAAGGTAGTTAAAACTAATAGGTAATCTCATGAGTTAAAACTCATAGCTTATAGAACAGCAATTGGCAATCATGGTGAGCTTGTAAAATGATCTTGCTAGCGATGTTTTGATTTTTAATTTTTTTAATGTTTAAATTTTTGTCATACTCTATGGTCACAGTCCTAGAATTACTTAAATGCCCTAAGTTTTAAAAACCTTTTCATTGAAGTGAAATGCGAATAAATGAAAATCTCAGGAGGGCTGGGAAGGTGGCTCAGTGATAGAGCGCTTGCCTTGCATGCATGAGGCCCTGGGTTTGATTCCTCAGCACCACATAAGCAAAAAGAAAAAAGCCAGAGGAAGTGGCGCTGTAGCTCAAGTGGTAGAGCGCTCGCCTTGAGCTGAAGAGCTGAGGGACAGTGCCCAGGCTCAGAGTTCAGGCCCCACGACCA